ATATAAGATTTTTCCAATTTTACTTTGTCAAAAAATATGAAATACCTGATTTATTGTGAATTTTCATTATGATTGTAATGGCAGAAAGGGAAGTGTTTGTTCGTGGCACGGCATATGGTTACACACTTCGATATTTGGTTGGTCCTTCAATAATGTAGGCGCTTGTCATGAAATAGGTAGGGTAAGAGTTTCCCTTAGGTTGATCGTGGGGGCGTTCACGGTCCCAAGGTGCGAGACCTAAAATAAATAGGTAGGGTAAGAGTTTCCCTTAGGTTGAACGTGGGGGCGTTCACGGTCCCAAGGTGCGAGACCTAAAATCCGAAGGACGGGGAATGGCGGTCCCTTGGGGGAGGTCCCTAAAGATGCATAGAGTACACCTTATTGGACCAATTGTGGTATTGATGATGATCTCGAATTTGTTATTTCAGAATGGATTACTTGAGCATATTTTACTCATATGAGTTGACATCGATTATTAGGAAATAAAAGTTTACATATTAGGTCAATTAAAATATTATTATTTTTCCTAATTAAATTTTGGTAGCTAAATCTCAACCGTGCAGTTCACATTCTAAAAGTGCTAAAGTTACTAATTTTCTGAAATTTTTTAAAGAAATTTGTTTTCTTAGGTTATCTGTTTTTCAATAGGACTTTTGTTTAGTTTCTTGTATATCTCTTGGGATGCGTTTCCCTTTTGAACGCTTTCTAAAGCATTTTATTTATCAAAAATTAATAAATACCGGGAACCTGGGCTCCTGTAGCTCACCCTATTTTCTTTACAAAACATTTTCAGGATTTTAGCCGAAATGAAAGCTTCCAAGGAGTAAAGTTAAGATAAGAGCAAGATAGTCGATAAGTCAAATTTTGATTCACTCGAGGGTGGTCTTGAGGTGAATGTGAGTAGGGAAGTATGCAATGGTTTGAACTGATTTTCGTATATTTTATGAATGGTGTGTAGGCTCACGTGTTGTGGGGAGCGGGGCATGACAAACGGTATCAGGTAGAGGTTTGGACCTTGGATTAGTTGGAAATTTAAGTGTATGAGAGATAATTTGAAGACTACTCGAGGTTTAAAGGGATGACTTCTTTAGGAATTATAATTCTTTCAAATGTAGGATTATATAAGAGAATGCAGTGTAGACTGAATAATTTAAAACTGCTAGTTGGACACCATTTCAATTGAAGTACCGGGAGGTTGGATTGACCAACTATGGTGGTAAGAGATGTAATTGAATCTATTGTAACAGATAATTGATGATTATATTGGAAGATCTCTTTATCGCTTTGGATGTGTATGTAGAAATGAGTGCATTATTAACATAGAAATTCATCTTATAAGAGGTGTCCTCACTGTGTCTCCAATTTGGGAACAGAGGTGTTTGCATCTGAAGAAATGAAGGCACATGGGATGGAAATTGAGACATACGTCTGATTAACTGAAAGACTGAGTTATGCTGGATGGGGGATTGACTCAAAGATATAAACAGTTAAGGGATTTGTCCTCGTTGATTTGGGGCCTCTATTCAGACATTATTCGATGTTCATGTTTCTCTATCCTTATCAAGGATTTCGAGCGCTTATCTTTTGAAGATCTGTCTCATAAATGCTTTACCGAACCAAATTAGTAGTAGCCACCACATCAACATTCAAATTTGACTCCGACACCTTATGATATAGACAATGTAGTTCTTGACTTAAAGATGGAAAACTGTGAAGTTTGGTTTAGGAGGGGGTAAAACAGACTACATAGGAACTGAGTATGAATTTTTGGATGTCAACTTTTTGAATGATATTGGCCTAGCACAACATCATCACTTAGGGATGATATAGCATCATAGTTTAATCTTTTGGAATAACTTAGCTAGAGTTCCATATTATCTATTTTTTCAATGTGATCATAATCAAAGCCAGTAGAAAACTGTCCAAAATTAAAATAATAAAAAAATTATACTTCCTCCGTCCTATAATAAGTGTCATATATTGGGAACCGTGCAGAGGGAGTACTATTTTTTTAAAAAAATTGATTACTGCTTACTTGAGAACCTAAATGCTCATAGGCAGTAGGCACACCAATGTAACAGGATATATGATTGATTTGATAGTCTTTCTAGCAATCTAAATGAGAATTGGTATTTTTCTGTGACACTTGATAATGCTAATTGAACACTTTACAGTGTAATATTAGCAATGACACATTTGTCCAACTAAATAAACACAAAAAATTTAACAAAAATATAATAATATAAAATATCAGAAGGAAAGAATTAACTTCACAAAACACCCTGTAATAAACTATTTTAAAATATTATAGAGAAAGGATTAACTTCATATGAAAGGAGTTGGCAAATTAAAAAAAAAAAACTAATCCAAATTTAAAACTGAGATATGACGGATCTAAATATTAGTGTATTAAAATCATACTAAAATGATATGTTCAACACCAATTTAATTAACAAAAATGTTTGATTATAAAATTTTGGGACACGAGATCAACACACTAAGAATTCTTGTCCCGAGGGATGGACCCAACGTGGAACCAGTGAATTTTTTATATTTTCATTTTATATCTTAATTTTTTTTAAATCTATAAAAATGGCACCACTAAAATTAGAATTTGCCCCCAAGATTCTTTTATTATTATTTTTTTTACTTTAAATTTTTAAGAATTTATGAAAATTTCCCCACTAAAATTACAATTCGGCCCCACTGCAACAGTACATGTTTACTTTCTTATATATATACATTAATAATTTGCATAGTTTAGCATACTATTACAGCTATATTGGACTGTATATACATAATAAAGCTATATAGAGTGGATTGGGTAAAAGAAACTTCCTTGATTGTCTCTAACAGGTGCTTAGTTCCAATTCAAATGGGTGACTGCTCTGGCATGATTTGGTGTGATGTCCTATGAAAGTAACCCATGCACTTCTTGGTCGCCCATGTTGGAAAGAGAACACGTATACCTTCATGTATAATGGCAAAAATATCAAGTTAAATCCCACAAAGCCATTAGAAAGTGACTCTAAGGCACAATATAGGCCCTCTGCTCAGCCTTGTGTTGATGAACTCGTGTTAACAAGAGAAATGGAAAAAGAAGTTTTACAGATTCCATCTAAAAAAGTGTTTAAATGTCAACCACCTGAGTCTAATGTACCACGTCATCCCATTCTATATAATCATGTCGAGAATGTCCAACTTTTATTATGTCCACTTTCTCCTCTTTTGAGCTTACCCCCATCTCCTCATGCATTCAATTTGTGATTCACAGAATAGTCCCTATGTTTTGCTTGAATTGAAGGGATCATGACTAAAGTTTAGCATACAGTAATTTTGCTAGGGTTAATAGGATTGCTATAAAGAGTTGGAAAGGAGAAATCTTACACTAAGTCTACATAATAATTATAGGGAAAATTACATATAAATGGAGTCAAAGTTTCATATTTACTTAGAAACTGAGTCAAAGTTCCATATTTCTCTAAAATGGATTGCTGAGGTGGCACATGATTTTTTACTGTTTAAAAAATTGTGGTGCCTAAAATGCCCTTCCCTAATAAAAAAGTAGTACCTTCAGTTCAAAAAAGTAGTACCTTCGGAGAAAAAGTAGTACCTTCGCGAGTGTTTAAAAAACATGGTACCTGGACGCCAAAAAATAATACCTTCAGTTCAAAAAAGTAGTACCTTCGAAGAAAAAGTAGTACCTTCGCGGAAGGGTATTTTAGGCATCACAATTTCTAAACAGTAAAAAACCATGTGCCACCTCAGCAATTCATTTTAGAGAAATATGAAACTTTGACTCAGCCTCTAAGTAAATATGGAACTTTAACTCCATTTATATGTAATTTTTCCATAATTATAACTGAATAAAGTCTTTTCTTTTTATTCTTTATTTTTTATTTTTTTTTATTTCTCTACCTTTGGGTTCTAGTTTCCCTGCAATTTCCATGCTTATATCTCTGAAACCTCCTCTCTCCATCATGAGCTGACTCAAAGAGGTTGCAAGTCTGAGCAAAATTGGATATCTCCGGCGTCTTGCCGGACCTCCGGCTAAGCGAAAAACCTTGTGAACTAGACATAACTTGTAAAATTAAGTTCCACTATGCTTCACAGAATTGATCTGAAGAGTTGTAGAATTGGAGATCTTAGAACTGAAGTTGGAATTAATAGTTGAAGAAAGGGAATAGTATCTTGTTGTATACTTTGCATATGATATGGGTGTGGTTAAGAATATAGATATAATATATAGTACTATATGATATAGATGAGGAGACACAGGTTTCTCAACTTGTTCTCTGAATGTGTGAACATTTTCTTGTATTTCTTTTTCATTGAAAAGTATAGGGAACTTCTAAATTGAGTGGACTAGAGAGAGAGAGGAAAAAAAAAAAAAAGAAAAAGAAAAAGAAAAATTCAATAACGAGTAATATGGTAGTTATAATAGGTTGGTGGACCTCTAGAAGAGTGGTGAATGCTAGCTCAATGGGGAAGGGAGTTTTAAATTTTCCAAGTTGCTCTTCACGCGTCTATAATGATTTTACAAAAATATCCCTTCACTTTAGACCATGCTCTAATTTGACGATTTCAAAATAAGTGTGTGTTTTTTTTTTTAAGAATTTAATTTTTCAAGTGAATAAATTTTTTATTTATTATTGTATTATAATCAAATTTATTTCGAGTAGTGATAGTTTATATTTTATAAATTCAGTATAAAAAGCTTAAATGGATAATATTACAAAAAAATACAACACTGAATTTTCAAACGGGACACTTCCGAATCCTCTAAAAAGTAAATTTTCCTTTTTTTTTTTTTAATTATTATAATAACAAATTAATTATTGTAATAACAAAGAGTGAGTGAGTCACTTAGTTACTTTGGTCCTTTATACTCGGTTTAGTAAGATCTTAAAAAATTGGTTAGAAGGGAGAGATGAACGACACATCATAAAAAATAAATTATGACACTTCTTTTTTTTGTTTGATTGGATATAAGAAAATAATTGATTGGATATAAGAAAATATAACAAAATAATATATTATTTTTGTTTGGGGCACTAGTGTTTGCCCCTTATGGTGACGATACAATAAAGGAGTCTCAATTTTGGATCATGCGTCCACTAACAACAAACGAATTAAATATATCCTGATTTAAACCAGCTTTGAAGATTTTGCTGAGTATTGGACATATCCTGATTTAAACCAGTTTTAACTTTTGAAGATTTTGTTGGGTATTGGACGTGGTCATTAAGCACATGAAAAAACAGTCCACAGCCTCTCTTCGTCTTTTTCACTATTGAAAAGACATGCATGTGTCTTTATGTGCATCTCTTTGTATCTGAAAAACAATTAATGAAATTACAACTAGGCATGGTGATATGGAATTAAAACTAAGCATGCTGATTCACAAAATTACTTGAAAAGGAGAAGTCTTACACTTCGGTGGGGTCCCGCAGTAGCTGAATAAAATCGGTCACATCAGCTGTTGGTTGCATATTAAACATTTTCTCAATAATATTTGAAAACCAAGTAAAATCTCTCAAGAAATGATAACCGGACTGGAGTCCTCTCTTTCCCTTTAAGAAACCCCTGGATTGGCAATACCAGAATGACCTTATCCATTACCACAAAAATGTCAGTATCTTCCCATTCCTTTACTGTGACAAAACCATTTTCATGCCTTTCAAGAAGAATATTTGTCATTCTCCTACCACAAAAAATAAAATAGAAAAAGAAAAATTATAGTCCTCCAGTCAGGGAGTACTATTTTTAAAAAAATTTGATTACTGCTTACTTGAGAACCTAAATGCTCATAGGCAGTAGGCACACCAATGTAACAGGATATATGATTGATTTGATAGTCTTTCTAGCAATCTAAATGACAATTGGTATTTTTCTGTGACGCTTGATAATGCTAATTGAACACTTTATAGTGTAATATTAGCAATGACACATTTGTCCAACTAAATAAACACAAAAAATTTAACAAAACTATAATAGTATAAAATATCAGAAAGAAAGAATTAACTTCACAAAACACCCCTATAATAAACTATTTTAAAATATTATAAAGAAAGGATTAACTTCATATGAAAGGAGTTGGCAAATTATAAATTAATTTTAAAAAAAAAAAAAAAAACTATTCCAAATTTAAAACTGATACATATTGGATCTAAATATTAGTGTATTAAAATCGTACTAAAATGATATGTGCAACACTACTTTAATTAACAAAAATGTTTGATTATAAAATTTTGGGACACAAGATCAACACACTAAGAATTCTACTCATATAAATTCAATAAGACATTCTATATGAGCAATAAATTGCAATTAAAAATTAAACAAATAAATTATTATATACCTTTCCTACACCTCCCATGCCAAACGAGATATAAACCCAATCTGCATTAAAGAGACTTTGTCACATAAAAATTCCAGACTTCACAAGCAAATAATCATAAATAGCATTACCGAAGCTTCAAATACGAAACACCTTTATACCAAATCATTCAAGATCCCTCTATATAAGGTATATGTATAGTCTTTTCCAAAGTAGTCATCAAAATCGACTCCACAACAAAAAGAAATTTTAGATATGAAAACTTAAGATCCAGATCTACAACACCATTCAGAAACAAAAAAAAAGAACCCACAACCAAGAGAAACTACTTTACCGATCCATTTAGAGACGAGAGTGACCTCCAAAATCAACTCCAAAACAAAGAGAAAATTTAGAGATGAAAACTTAAATTCCAGATCTACAACACCATTCAGAGAAAGGGAAAAAAAAAAAAAAAAAAATCCCACAACCAAGAAAACTACTTTACCGATCCTAATAGAGACAATAGTGAGCTGCAAAATCGACTCCAAAACAAAAATAAAAAAAGTCCGAGAGAAAGAGAAGATAGTACCTTGAATGTCAGGTCCGGCGGTCTCGGCGGTGTCTGTAGTGAGATGAGTGACATGATCGGCCGCCGACGGTGAGGAGGAATGAGAGATACAGATATACAGAGATGGAGAGAGAGTAGACTGTAGAGCATGAGAGAGAGATTTGTGAGATCTGGGTCCTTGACCGTGACTTTGAATTGGTATAGTGCCAATAAAGAGACTTTTTAGACTGGGTGGAAAAAATTAAATACAGGCGTGACTAGGGCTGTCGATGAGTCAAGCCGAGCCGAGTAATGGGTTGTTCGAGCTCGATCAGTTTACAGGTTGGCTCAAGCTCGGCTCCAGCTACCACATCACTGTCCGAGCTCGACTCGAACTTAAGTAAGCAAACTCGAGTTTGACTCGGCTAACTCGTTTAATTTACCGAGCTGAACTCGAGCTCGAGCTCAATATCAAGCTGCTACTGTAATTATCAAATCAAAACTAGATTCATGCCAAAATTAATTCCCATCTGTTTTTTCCATACATTGCAGAATCAAAGCAGCCTAAATTACAAAGAAATTTGAGAGATGAAGTTAAAATCATACTTTTCAGAATCAAAGAAGCCTAATTTACAAAAAAAAAAAATTAGAGAGATGAAATTAAGAGAGAGAGATAGAATAGAAATGAATGAGAAAAAAAAAAAAAAAAAAAAAGCATCCGGCATATTTGTAAAAAAATCACCGGTTTTCAGTGAAGGTCTCCGACAAATAGTCAGATCGGAACTGAACTGGTCTGTAAACCCTTTGACTGGCGAAGTTAAAAAAAATATATATATATATATATATATATACACATTTGAGAAGGAATTAGAAAGGAAATTAAAACCGAAATTCAGAGAAAATTTTAGTAAATGGATATAGATAGAACAAGAGATTTAGAGAGAGAAAGGAGAAAGAAACTCACCATCTTTAGGAACATGAATCGTTGGATTGAAACTGAGTATGTGATGAGTTGGGAGTTTGTGAACTTTCGAAGCCTAACAATGAAAAAAATACGCAGATTAGGGGAAGAAGGTTGTAGGCGTGAGTGGCTGGGAAGACTCGAGAGACTAGGGGAGAAGTAATGGGCCGCATGGTATGGGCTAAAGTTAGAAAAAGACAAAAATTGAATACTTTTGTATATATATATTATAATTGGGTGTGTGTGTATATATATTATGAATATAAAAAGTTGAATATTTTTGTATATATTATAATTGGGTATATATATATATATTATAATTTAGTATGTGCGTGAACGCATTATTGAGTCCAATTCAGTTCATGAACAAACGAGTTGAGCCTACTAATGTTAAGACTCAACTCGTTTATTCATCAAGCATCATAATTCAGCTCGAGCTCGATTCACTTGTTAACGAATCGAGCTCGAACTGAGTAATTAACGAGCCGAGCCCGAGCTATTTGCAAACGGCTCGGCTCATTTACAGCCCTAGGGGTGACACAACATCATTTCTTATTTTTATTTTATTTTTTATTTTATTTTTTTTTTAGCAGAACAATCAAGCATCTCCAATACAAAATGCTTCATTAGTACACTCTTTGTACTAATGAAGTGGCTATGTACAAATTTAAAGTCCGAAAGCATCTTCAATACAAAAATGTTATATTTTTATGCCAAATTTATATTTTAAGAGAAGTTATATTGCCAAAATGTTATATTTTTACAATACTGCTCCAATGGTACATTTTATTTAAAACATATTTTTTGACACAACAACCAATTCATGTGTTTGAGAGTCCATTAGAGTGTCTTATATTCATTTTAGCAAAATATGAGAGGTCTTTTGAGAGCCCAATGGAGTGCTTTATTTTAATCCACTTGCTATGTTTTGAGTTTGAGAGGTCATTTGAAAGCTGCTATATTTGGCACTACTTTGATAATCTCAAAATATTATTTGGCACTATTTTTGAGAATCTCAAAATATGAGAAGTCTTTTGAGAGGCTATTGAAATATTTTATTTCCATCCACTTGCTATATTTTGAATTTGAGAGACCATTTGAGAGGGCATTGGAGATGTTCTTAAAGAATCTCAAAATATGAGAGGTCTTTTAAGAGGCCATTGGAGTGCCTTATGTTCAATGCCATTCAACATGTGTAAATATCAGCTGACTTATTATATCTTCCTATGTGATTCTTCCACACGATGCCAAACTGAGAGTATGTCAATGCAATGTTCTTCCTCTTTTTGTTGGTTGAGATGATTATTGAGCGGGAACAAAAAGGGAAACCTTTGACTACACCACACAAAACCTTGATTTCCCTCTCTAAAGTTCCATTTGGTTAGGGTGAAGTTGTTAGAAAGGAAAAAGAAATGAAAAAAAAAAAAATATATATATATATATATATATATATATATATATATATTTGTTTATTTCATAATCTATTGGCTGACAAAGTAGGAGGAGAGGGAACACGAAAGGCACACCCGCTTGGGTTTCTCGATCCCGTGATTGTTGACTTGGGTGACCACCGACTTGACGAATTTCATGCTGGACTCTCTATTAACTAGGTCACTTGATAATATCTATAAAATATCATAATTTTATATAGTCTTAATTACTATTGATTTTCTTATTTGTGTTGTTTCATTTTAGGCCACCAATATATAACTTCAATTTTGTGTGTGTGTGTGTGTTTTTTTTTTTTTGTTTTTTTTGGATTTTAAAGGTTAGTTTGGATTTTAAGGATAATTTAGTTAATTAAATTATTTTCTAGTTGAATTGCCATAATCCCACTAATTTAGTCATTATTACCAAGGTTCATATAGCCCAACTCAACAAGGTTATTATTAGTAATCTCTACAAGAATGCACTCATTCCCAAATTTCCAGCCCATACTATAGGAGCGTTTTCTGTCCGTCAAACTAATTTAAAATTAGTTCAAGAGAGGCATAATCTATAAATCTTACGCAATTGAAAATTTATACGAATAAACCCCCAAATCTCAGTCTTGATTTGAGTACGTTTATACATAGTATTCATGTGTGTCTATATATATATATATATATATATATATATATATATATAGACACACATGAATACTATGTATAAACGTACTCAAATCAAGACTGAGATTTGGGGTATATATATATATGTGTTTTTGTATATTTCAATGCAATTTTACGGTGTGTGTGTTTTTTTTTTTTTTTTTTTTCATATATGTAGATATTGAAAATACAGCCTTGTAATCAACACGATTCCATGGAATTTGAAATTTTGTGTTGTCACCACTCTGAAACCTAAAATTTGTGTTGGGAACTTGTCACTCATCTCTATCTTTGAGGGTTAGTCTGTTAGGTGATGTTAAGGAAACAATTTACAATTTCCATTTGTTGTCAAGAGTTGAAAATTTTGTGTGCTTCACCGTTACTCGGGTGTTTAGTATTTGTTAATTTAGGTGATGAATTTTTTAGCATATCTCATTGGCATGTTTGGGCAGTGAAGATTTCGGTTCAAAAATTCAAGTTTTCCTTTAATTAGCAGTGTGGATAAATAGAACCACACTGGCAGGAGTCATGTAGCTTTAGTTGACAAATAAGAGAAGCTTCACTTAATTGTTTTTGTTATATATATATATATATATAAATATCTGATAAAAAAGGCAACAGGATAAAAACAAAAATACTAGTGGATTTCACAATGTCATTACTGAGTGGCATAGAGTGATTTCCACCCAAACAACATTTTCAGTAGTTCAATAAACAAATTGAGGCGCACACACGTTAGACTGGCGCAAAACATCCTGAGACACTCACCAACAGATGAACATCCTGATTTATTAGACGATGTAATAATACGAATGCATAAAGTCAAATAACTAGCGGAATCCAGCAAGCAAGAAATTAACCCTATTATTCTGTATTTTGTAGTGACTAATACAAAGATTACAGGATTAATTGATCAAATACTGGATTCATTAGTTGCGATAGTGAGATTGTTTGCAGAGGTTTAGCAAGTGAGTACCTGCTAGCAAGAAACTCCTAAGAGATGCGTAGCATTGTCGGCCGAGACTTTGGCTCGGGATGTAAGCAAGCAAATGCCAATGTTGCAACCAGAACAATATACTGTGCAACCGCTCCGCATGTTGGAGCTTGGAGGCGTGTGTCTAACATATCATTTAGCATTATATTTTGAGTAGGTGCTGATGCCAATGATTGGAGAAGTTCTCCTGGATGCCTTCCCATAAGTGTTTCCAGTGCCATAACTCCGAAGCTATAAACATTACATTTTTCAGTCACATCCACGGTGAAGGCAAGTTCTGCATCAACAAAAAAAATTGTGCAAGTGATACATCAACAAAAAATATACATGTAAGAGGAAACCAACTCCTTTGCAAAAAAAACAATAAATAAATAAATAACGAGATTGTTTCAAAATTAAATATTATATAATTTGTTCATCAATTTGTCTCATCCATAGTGAATCAGTTACAGATACATTTAATCGTTTTTCCTTATGATTTTGTACAGATAGTGAGATGTGAATTTTTTTAAAAAGCTAAAATGCAACCTCTTACTAGACTAGACTAGACAGACAGAATTAATTCAAACAAGATCAATAGAATTTAGTACAGTGGCAGAGAGCTCAAGCTCATATGACTAGAGAGAAGTACTAATGTACCATGAAGTGTTAAAATATGGGGAAAGAAAATTCTACCAAGTAGAGACTTTTGTCCATCGACATGATTAATCAAGCTATAAAACTATTCCATTGGCATGACAGAATGAAGTTTAAGATGTAATATTTATACCTGGAGCAATTTACTTGTCGCAGTTAATTTACCGGGAAAATATATATATATATATATATATATATATATATTCCATAAGTGCCTACCATCAAGGTAAGTTTGATTGGACGAATCAGGATATAGTAATCTAGCAAGGCCAACGTAAGAGATACAAGCATGTAGTTTTGAATTTAAAGGAATGTTGTTGCTTGAATTGAAGGGATCATGACTAAAGTTTAGCATACAGTAATTTTGCTGCAGGCCTCATCATACTCAAGGGTGAAGGACATGGTCCAGTAATAAGCAAAAACAAATTAAGATTATTTAGTTAGGCATTTTATCAAACATGTGGTGGGAATAATTCGTGGTTGATCTTTAGAGCAACCGGAGTTACTATACTATTCTGCCATAAAACCATCACCTTTCACAAAAAGAATCATAGATACAATTAAGAAAAAGATGCAGTAATATACCTGGAGCAGTATATCCATAAGTGCCTACTATCACAGTATGATTAGACGAATCTGGATACAGCAATCTAGCAGCGCCAAAGTCAGCCATGCAAGCTTTCAATTCTGAGTTTAAAAGAATGTTGCAGCTCGAAACGTCACGGTGAAGAATGGGTGGGGTGCAAGCATGGTGCGTGTAAGACAAAGCATGGGCAATTACTTTCACTACATTCACCCTTTTAGTCCAATCCAACTCCACAGCTTCCACTTCACTTCTCAAGACCAAAAACAGGCTTCCCCTCTCCATGTATTCATAAATCAGAAACATGCATCGCTTGTGCAGACAGAACCCATAAAGCTTCACAATATTTCGATGTCGTATTTCTGATAAAAAGTGTGCCTCGTTCTTGAAACTTTTATCATAAGCTGGCTCTTCACCTTCCAGACGACGCAGATTCTTCAAGGCAACTACTTTGCCACTGGGCAACTGTGCTTTGTAGACACTCCCACTGCCTCCAGTTCCAATGCAGTATTTGTCATCAAAGTCCTATGTTGCTTGAATAATGTCTTTGTATGCAATTGTTCCATCATAACTCCATATTGAGAAGATATTTCCATGCTTTGTCACTCTGGACTGAGATTGGGTTTTCTCTACCTCCCTTTTAGAGTAGTACAAATATCCTCGAATCAAGGAGGCTAGAAAAACTTTGACAGGAAGGAAAATCATGATATAGTGCAAAATTTTGTTTCTTCTTTTATTTTTGAAGCCGCTGGCTGTGGGAGATGGATGACAAGGCAAGTATGTGGTGCCACCACATAAATCTTGGTTGCCAACAAATGCCTCTGGGTAATATTTGAGCTGAAAATCCTTCGTGATTCGACCCTTCAAAGCATTGTATGACAAGTCAATGGACTTTATGGTTATGAGAGAATGAGGAATGGTACCAGAGAGTCTATTGTGGGAGAGATTCAAATGTGTTAAGCTAGTTGTGTGGCCGAGCTGGGAAGGTATTTTTCCATTGATTAAATTATGACTAAGGTCAATAGATGATAGTGAGGGGAGCTTAGCTATTTGAAATGGAATGCTTGCATTCAAATAGTTGTTGCTCAAAGACAAATACTGCAAACTAGTTGAACGCCATATATCAGTTGGGATTGGTCCACTTAGCTTGTTTGTGGAGAGGCCTAAAGACCAGAGTTTGGAGAGTGCTCCTATTTCAAGGGGTATTGAACCAGTGAGTTGGTTTGAGGAAAGATCAAGTTATGTGAGTTCAGTCAATTTGGTAAGGTCTTGAGGCAGGGTACCTTGTATCTGGGTATGGGAAATATCCAATACAGTTAAAGCCTTCATGTTCCCAATCTGTTGAGGTACAGAACCATTGATTTGGTTGGAAAGAAGGCACAAGTGTGTCAGTTTGGACAATTGACCGAGAGTTGAAGGGATTGGGCCTGTGATTTTGTTATTATCATGGAGTCTTAAATCAACCAGATTCCTCAAATTCCCTATTTCCGGAGGGATGGAACCTTCAATCTTATTAGAATGAAGGTACAAAGTTTGCAAACAAGACAGATACCCAATAAGCGAAGGGATTGGCCCTATAATATTGTTATAACTAAGGTCTAAATCAACCAGATTCTTCAAGTTCCCTATTCCTGGAGGATGGAACCATTGATTTCATTCCCAGTAAGAGAAAGCAACACCAAATTTGCTAAATGACCTAAAGTAGAAGGCATTGGACCAATGAGCTGGTTGATACTAAGGTCTAAATGAACCAGATTTTTCAAATTCCCCATTTATGGTGGAATGGAGCCATGGATAGAACTGTAACGCAAGTTGAGATGGGAAAGATTTGTCAAAAGACCAAGAGCCAATGGGATTGGTCCAGCGAATTGATTGTAACTGAGGTCTAGTAAGGTTAGCTTAGACAACCGGCCGAGAGCTGGAGGGATTGGACCGTGAAGGTAGTTGTGACTCATGCTTAGGAAAACCAGATTTTCCAGATTTCCTAATTTTGGAGGGATAGAACCATTGACTCTGTTGTTAGAAATGTCAAGCTCCACTAATTCAGTCAGATAAGCCAGCGAACGAGGTAGCTCACTGTAAAGATCATTGGAGGACAAATTGAGGTAGGTAAGTTTTGAAAGTTTACCTATTTGATCTGGGATGGTCTCATGGAGTCCTTTATCACCAAGGTCAAGACGGACAAGATTTGGAAAGGAAGAGAAGTTAAATTTCCCCAACTCGACTTCCAATTTGATGTTGTCAGGCAGGCTTATTTCGGTGACACTTCCAGCATTATTGCAGACTATACCAGGCCACTTACAATGATCTGAGCTGTTGTTCTTAACAATATACCACCATTCACTGCTAAGCAGCGCCTCTGTTTCCAATTGAAATGATGATGATGATGGTGGTGGTGGTGGTTCGGATGCCGCCAACGTCGAAGTAGTACTATAAATAGAATTGGTAGCATAGAAAAAGATTAATGTAGAGCATACTGGTAGCACTAGAGAGAGAGAATTGAAGAGTAACATGACTACAGTTTAGCATAAAGTAGTTTTTCTACAGACCTCGTCATACTCAATGGTGAAGGACTTTAAAGAGTTCAGCCTTGACTTGGGCATAAGAGTCGAGGTCTTCTCCTAACAAATATATATACTAATAGTATTTTTTTAAAATATGTTTAGTAGCTCATAAGAATATTCTTTCAACTTAAAAATATTGTTCAGCAAAATCCACATAAATCTATCCTTTCTACTAAAAAACAGAGTCCATTAACAGCAAAAACAAATTAAGATTATTTAGTGAGGCATTTTGTCAAACATGTGGTGGGTATACGTTGTGGTTAATTTTCTTTCAGATGAAGAAACTATCTATTGTCGTTTCTTTCAGATGCCCGAGTCCATTGTCTCGGTCGTCACATGCGGTTGGGCGGTTTGTAATTGAGTATACAGATGAACCATTGTCTCTTCCATACTCGTTTCATCCAGCCATCAGACTTGTAAAATGAGTTTTATTCGAGAGGCTCGAGACTCTACAACTAAAAAGTCCTAAAATCACCTACAACTAGCAGTAAGTAACAGAAGTGAAAATCATTTCGTCAAAAATACTAAAAAATAATTTTTAAAAAATATTTTAGGTGGAAACAAACCAAATAAAGTTGAAATTGGAATTGTGTTTTTAATTAGACATACTTACTGCAATAGAAAGTTTTTTGTTGACAACAGCAGACTAGGATCAAAACTCACGACACCTCCATTGATATTGATCACGACTTATGAGTCACCGCAACCCAATCGGACTTTTAAGAGTTGCGCCTTCACTTGGGCAGCGGGGTGAAGGTCTTCCCGTCGCCAGCTGGCCTGTGATGAAGTTGTCTCCACGGCATAGGGTCTTTTCATCAAGTCAAGCTGATTGATACATTATTAACGTATTCACTGTTGAAGTTATAAGCATGGTTCATATATCATAGAAAAGTATCAGAGACATTAGTCATCTCTATTGAAGTTTTCACCATGTCAATATAACGAACGTCTCCTAAAGATTTATGTAGGTTGACCCGTAAGCATCATGTTTGGCCAACCCATACCAAGGAATATAAAGGCCCTCTCATCCACAATTCTTGCCTTCTGTTCATGAAGTGTGGTGCTCCTACATTAGGGGCACTGCTATGTTTCAAGTGGTTCAGAAGCTCAAGAAGCTAAAAACAGTCCTTAGAACTAACTGTAAGAAGGAGTTCTCTGAGGTTGATTCCAAGCTACATTATGTGAAGATTGAATTGTATACATGCCAGTTTGACCTTGATAACTCCCCAAATGATACTTTTCTAAGAGAGATGGAAAGATCACTAACTTCTTAGTTTCTAAGGCTTGCAAAGATTCAAGAGGACATGTTAAGATAGAAATCAAGGATGAATTGGCTGAAATTAGGAGATTGGAACTTCTCATTCTTCCACAAATCACTCTCCTCTAGAAACAATAGAAAGAAGATTGTATCACTTACTACAGATTCTGGACAGGTCATTGAGGACATGGAGTCCATCAAGCAAGAAATTGTTTCTCATTTCCAAAGCTTGTTGGGCTGCTCACCTCCTTCCACTCATCAACTTATTGACCTCCTACCATTCATCACAAAGCAGGTCCCTCAGCACCTGCACAACTACCTTAATTAATCCCCATCCTCCAGTGAAATTAAAGAACGTATTGTTTGTTTCTCATTTTCCTATTTTCCATTTTTTGAGATTTTTTTTTTTCGATTTTTGGATTTATTTTATTTTCTCGCCTGGAATTGCGTACCAAACACAATGGGGTGTGCAAGTGAGTTCCGAGGATTTGGTTGGGGCATTTCTTTGAGTTCAGTACTCTTAGAAATGTATTATTGGCCATTTCGGTATTTTTTAATTTTTCAGGCCGGGAGGTCCAGGGCAAGACCCGCAATCGGATTTTTCGTGCACGGAATTATTTTTTGGGACCGTCGCATTTAATACATCATAAATTCATGTATATTTATATGGTTATATGTTTAGAAATATGTGTGTAGCATGCTTATTGTATATATGTGTGTATATATAGCATATATATATATACACACACAAATAAAGCAAATTGAATATTTTAGACCATATGAGCCCCGCGTACACTTACTAACCATGCACCCAAGATCACAAATGCAGAATTTCTGCATTCTTCTTCCTCTTCTCAACCGTGGGGGAGTATTTCTCTCTCTACACACTTTCTCTCTCTAAATCCAAGCATTCAAGCTCCGATTTCACCTTCTTTTTTTTTGTAGGAATTAAGCTTTGCCATTGAAAGCAATTAAGTTAAAGAGCTCGACGAGGGCTACGAGTTGATTGGAGTCGATCTTCAATCAGCCACCCCTGGAATTTCAAAATTAGGGATTTTCTCGTCCTTTGAGGTAAGGGTTTCTAAGACTCAAACTCTTTGATTTTTGTGAATTACCTCTATTACAATTGTGTCCTTGCATGCTAATTTGTGGGTTTTGTTCATGGCTATTAGAATTTATATTTATGTGAAGCATGATATGGTGCTTTATGTGGCAATTGTGTTAAAATGCATGTTTAAGTGAATTGTTGTAAAGACATATGCTTAATTGATTTTCCTACATGCTTTAATTGTGATGAGGCCATGATTGTTAAATAAATGAGAATGTGATGTTCGTGTAGTAATTTACTCCCAAAGCATGCAAGCATGATATAGATGTAATATATGAAAATTTTATATTAGCATGTCATTGAAATGTATGAAGCGTCCATGCATTGGCATTGGGCAAGAAATGGGGAATTGCTTTGAAAAGAAAGGAAAATAATTTTGGGGAAAAGTTTTGAACAAAAATTTGTGAAAACCGGACAGCTAGGAGTTGCCTAGTGTCCGTGGCATTAATGTGACCTAGAAGGAACTAAGGAGACTATCCTAGCGTGGTTGAGTTATTTAAGCCCGAAATGAGGCTTTAGAGTTGCCATAGGTCAGGGATAGTTAGCCAATTCTTCTCTCATGGTACCATGGAATTGCCATGGGTCGAGTTACGTTAACGGTTTGGAAATGATAAAATGAAAAGGCTTTTGGAAATAGGGAGCAACATTAGCATCGCATTGGTATCCCATTTGCATTGCATTACATAGAATGGATTGGGTGACTCGAATATTGGATTATTTCCCTTTAAATTTGCATGATTCTGTTTTCCCCTTTTCTATACTTTGTTTGGATTCACGGGGTCATTAAGAGGTGCGTTTTAGGCTCCTCCTACTGAGCCTTTGTGCTCACCCTTTTCTTACCATTTTCATGTCACGGGAAAGTGGTGGTGGATAATGATCCTCCACAAACGTAAGCGGGACTACGAAGGCCTACTTTTTGCCATTTTGTATTAAGATATATATTTTGTAAAACTTGGGCTTAACTTGTCTATTTGTAATCCAATATACTCATTTACGGGTGGAAATGGTTTTGAGACCTATGGACCATCTTTTGGGGTCTTATTAAGATTTCCATTCTCTTTTGAGGTTTATAACCATTCAATGATGTATTTAAACTTATTTTGATTATGAACATTGAAACCGGATCTAATGTGATGAATGAATGATGAAATCAAAGTTTTATTTCGTCGTTATGTTGTAGACTCTATGAGTTAGCTTGACAATTTATTTTTAACCATTCATGCATGTTGAAGTTGAGGGGAATTGATTGTATAGCTCTATAAATGCACTTGTAGTAGCCATTTTCAGGCTTCCTAGGTGGGGAGCCAGCTCCCTCTGAAAGGGAGCTGGCTTTTTTTTTCCAATACGTTTTTTTTTTTTTTTTTTGCCAAATGCTCCACATGGAGCCAGCTCCCTCCGAATGGGAGCCAACTCCCTCAACAAAAGGAAGTGGCTCCCTTAAAAAGGAGGCGGCTCCCTTGCTGCTTTAAACCATTTTTCTTGATTTTTGGGGCGTGACATGTATGTTGAATCTGAAGAAGGATAAAGCCCCTGGTCCTAACGGCTACAATGGCCTATTCTTTCAAAAAGCTTGGTGCATTGTTGGCAGATCTGTTACAATTGCAATTTCTGAATTCTTTAGAAATGGGAAACTCCTAGCAGAGGCAAACAACACCTATATTTCCCTGGTCCCAAAATGTCAAAACCTTACTTCTTTACATGATTATAAACCAATTTCATGCTGTAATACAATCTACAAGTGAATTGCCAAGCTCCTGGCTCACAAGCTGCAATCCACTCTACCCATCATTATTGAGTCTTCATAATCAACATTCATCCATGGTAGGAAGATCAATAATCCAATTCTTCTGGCTCATGAACTACTGAGAGGATACTATAAAGATAGCTCACCACCTAGATGTGCCATCAAGATTGACTTAAGAAAAACCTTTGATTCAGTAAAATGGGACTTCATCATCAGCTGCTACTACTCAACTTCCCACAGAAGTTCATTACACTTATCCATGCATGCATTTCCTCTCCTTTTTTCACCATTGCCTTCAGTGGGGAATTTCAGGGATTTTTCAAAGAAAAAAGAGGGCTAAGACAAGGAGATCCAATCTCACATTTCCTATTTGTCATTGTCATGGATGCATTCTCATCCATCATCAACTGTTTTGTGGGAAGATTGCATGCTTTTAAGTACCATTAGAGATGCAAAGATCTAAAGATCACACACCTCCCATATGTTGATGATCTTCTCCTACATTGCAATGTAGACATTACCTCTGTCTCAGTCTTGAAATCAGCTATTGACCACTTTTGTACAATGTTTGGCCTTGATATTAACCTCAACAAAAGTTCTATATTCTTCTCAGGCACTGATCATCACACAGAGGATTGCATCACATCTTTGCTTAGTATTGGGGTTGGGACTTTTCCAGTTGGGTATCTTGGAGTTCCACCCATCTCAACCAACCTCAAATCCTCTCACTGCAGCTTTCTCATTGACAAGATTTCCCATGGGATCACACATTGGACCTATAGATGCCTATCTTATGCGGGAAGACTACAGCTAATTAAGGCAGTTCTTGTTTCTACACAACTTTATTGGTCAGGTATTTTCATACTTCCTAAGGCTGTTGAGG